CATGTTATCTTCTCGGCTCTGAGGAGTGAATGGCCTCACTGTAAAACTGTGACAGAAACACAGAAAACCACTTGTCTCGTGTTGAAAGTGTTCTACAAGAGCCTGGCTCAGCTTTGCCCCTCTTTAATAGCAGTTGCAGAAAACGGAATGTCAGATCTTTTAAAAAGATCTTCACTAAGGCAGAGCTAAGTCATTTAAAGACACAACCACCTCAACGCTACCCAACAGGACATTTGCAGAAACCTCCCAAAACATCCCAAGAATGTACGGCAGAGTCACAAAGCCAACATTCCCACCTAAAAACACTCAGGGGTCTGGCGATTTTCTTGTTTATCTGCTCCAGCCACTCCCCTACTAAAGAATTCTACAGTCTGTGGAACAAGTTGGACTTGGAACGGCAGCCAAGCTTTACAACCGGTCCCAGTGAACCATTTTTTCCCATCACCTTCCTTCCATCTCTTTTTTGCCAGCCTAGCGATAAAGTCAAACTTTGCTTCTTGCCATTTCCTAACATCTGCAGGTCTTCGGCTCCATTCTTTCACGTAGTGTTTCTTCTTCCCAGAATTTAGACTATTTCCCTATCCCTCTCTGGTGAAATCTACGCTAAAAAAGTCCACTTCACACAATGGCTCTGCCTGGAGATCTCACTATGCTGATGGGCTGAAACTTTGTGTTCCAAAAGCACTTTTAACTAACTTCTTTGTGCCTCAGCTTCCTCATCTGCAAAATGGAGAGATAGCAACGACTTTCCTGGTTCTTTTGGAGACTAAATAGGTTAAACCATGTAAAATGCTTGGACCAGCACCTAGAATCTAGAACGCATTCAATGCATATTAGCTATTAACTATTATTTCTGTTACAGCACTTACTAGTTGTTCATTACTAAGTTCATGTGTGTGCATTTGCATATTCACTTGATTTGATTCCAGTCTAAGCCTTCTGAGGGATGTCGTGTTTATCATTTCATTCCCATCATGTAAAAACAAAATATTGCACAGAATAGATGTTGGGAACCTAAGGGTCTTTTTGAGGGGGAAGGAGGGAAGGTATGTCTAGCATCTTTTCTACTTCTTTTAGAAATGGCCCTCCTGACATGTTTCCTTCGGGAAACCACATTCCCCCTCTGTTAGTCCATGTCCTTTGTATGAGGCTAACCCCTCCCTGGGCACTAGGCTCTTGGGCTCCCGGGCTTATCCAGTCGAGGCCCAGTATATCCCTGGCACTGGTGACTGGTTCAGAGAGGGACACGTGCTCAAGTTGCACAAATAAGATATCCAGACCCCCAAAGCTGGAATAGGAAAGCAAGGCTTTTTCTTTCTTCTGGAGCTGTTAAAACCAAATATCAGCAAGAGTGGCTAGTGGCCACCTGGCCTCCACAAGAGGAGAGTTGAAGTTAATGACAACAACAACAACAAAACCCAATAGAAAGGAAATGCAGACTCAAAAGAGGGAATGAGACAGGTTCCTAATGATAGCTTTTAAGCACCTGGATCCAACCATGCCTGAAGGTTGTCTGCCCCTGGATTTTCAGTTACATGAGCCAATAAATTCTTTATTTGATTAAGTTTATTATGATTCATCAGCAGTGAAGAACCCTGACTAATCAAAAAGGTATCAAATAAATTTTTTTTTTTTTTAGATGGAGTCTCACTCTTGTCACCCAGGCTGGAGTGCAGTGGTGCCGTCTGTGTTCATTGCAACCTCTGCCTCCCAGGTTCAAGTGATTCTTCTGCCTCAGCCTTCCAAGTAGCTGGGCTTACAGGTGCCTGCCACCACATTGGCTATTTTTTTTTTTTTTGTATTTTTAGTAGAGATGGGGTTTCACCATGTTGGTCAGGCTGGTCTCGAACTCGTGCCCTCAGGTGATCTGCCTGCCTCAGCCTCTGAGGATTACAGGCATAAGCCACCATCCTTGGCCTCAAATAAATGTTTTTAAATTGAATTTTCTTCCAGCAGTCACCACAGATTCTTTAGGTTTTTCAGGGCAGAAATATGAAAGGAGAACTAATACAGACCATCTTTACCCACTCAAGAATTTGAAACTTGCCCAGGACTTAAGAAAGAGGAAGGTGAAGAGATCTGTGTTCCTTCCTCCTCTTGGGAAATTACTGTCACAACTTTGCCCAGAAATCTGATAGTAACCATCTATTTCTTATGTGCTTGGAGAACATTTTCCTATTTGTTTTCTCCCCACGATCCCTAAAAGATAGGCTAAGCAATTATTATAAACATTATTATTTTGAAATGGAGTCTCACTTTGTCACGCAAGCTGGAGTGAAGTGGGGCCACCTCGGCTCACTGCAAGCTCTGCCTTCCATGTTCAAGCGATTATTCTCGCCTCAGCCTCCTGAGTAGCTAGGATCACAGGTGTGCGCCACCAAGCCTCGCTACTTTTTGTATTTTTAGTAGAGACGGGGTTTCCCATGTTGGCCAGGCTGGCCTCAAACTACTTGACCTCAAGTGATTCTCCTGCCTTGGCCTCCCAAAGTGCTGGGATTACAGGGGTGACCCACTGCACCCGGCTAAGCAATTGTTTTTATTTTCCTCCTCAGATAAGGGTATTGAGAATTGGAGAGGCTAAATAGGTTTTCCAGTCACACAGTAAGAACCTGGTTGAACCCAGGTGTGTATAATCAAAAGACTCCTGCTTCATATTCTCCAATCGGAGTTGATAATTCCAAAGATTCCAACTTTCCCATGAGAGGTACACTGCTTTCTGATTTTTCTTAAGATACCAGACAGCAGGACAACTTTTTGAAGTTAATTTTAAATGAGTGCTTTTTAAATGGTAGTACATTCTCAGAGAGTTCAAATTATAAAAGGATACAGTGCAAATTCTCACTCTTGCCCTGCCTCCCAACTATTATGCTTGAACCTCAGCCTTGCTCCACAAACAATTTGTAATTTTTTTTTTTTGAGATGGAGTTTTGCTCTTGTTGCCCAGACTGGAATGCTGGAATGCAATGGCATGATCTCAGCTCACTGCAACCTCCACCTCCTGGGTTCAAGCGATTCTTCTTCCTCAGCCTCCCGAGTAGCTGGGATTACAGGCATGCGCCACCACATCCGGCTAATTTTTTATTTTTAGTAGAAACGGAGTTTCTCCATGTTGGTCAGGCTGGTCTCGAACTCCCGACCTCAGGTGATCCCCCCCGCCTCAGCCTCCCAAAGTGCTGGGATTACAGACGTAAGCCACCATGCCTGGCCGCAATTCGCCACTTTTATGAGTGTCTTGTGTATTCTTCCAGACATGCTTGAACAAAATAGTCACTATTTTCTCCTTGTTTTTTAGATAAAAGGTAGGCTGTTTTCTAATAGTTGTTTTTGTTTTTGTAAAAGTGTCAGAGGCATGTGGACTAGAGCAATTCCATCTTGAATAGGGGCTGGGTAAAATGAGGCTGAGAGCTACTGGGCTGCATACTCAGATGGTTAAGGCATTCTAAATCAAAGGATGAGACAGTAGGTCAGCACGAGACACGGATCATAAAGACCTTTTTGATAACACAGGTTGCCATAAAGAAGTCGACCAAAACTCACCAAAACCAAGATGGCCACAACAGTGTCCTCACTGCTACACTCCCGCCAGCGCTGTGACAGTTTACAAATACCATGGCAATGTCAGGAAGTTACCCTATATGATCTAAAAAGGGGAGGCATGAACAATCCACTCCTTGCTTAGCATATCATCAAGACATAACCATAAAAACAGCAACCAGCAGCCCTCGGGGTTGCTCTGTCTATGGAGTAGCCATTCTCTTATTCTGTTACTTTCTTAATAAACTTGCTTTCACTTTATGGACTCACCCTGAATTCTTTCTTACGTGAGATCCAAGAACCCTCTCTTGGGGTCTGGATCAGGTTTCCTTCACTATAACAAAAATATATAAATTTTAAAACTTTCAGGTAGCAGAGGTAATAGATAAGACTGAGGTTGGGAGGAGGTAAGAGGTGACTGTCTTTGACCTGTAGAACAGCAGAAGCCAAAATCACCTTTGTTTCCAGAGGAGGCAAGCTGGGAATGGCCATGGGAGATCAGCCCACAGGGACCTATGGTTCTTATTCCCAAGGGGTAAAGGTCCAGGATTCAAACAATGAGTAAGTCCTCAATCCCAGAAGGGCCAGGAAGTACAAGTAATCTCAGGAGAGTAATTCGAAGCTGGGATTTGTGTGCTACGTGAAACACTGCCTGTCCTTCCCCTTCACTCGGACTCTCCCAAACTCATGAGAAACACAAATGCCTAAGACAGGTGTTTTTTAATTCATCTAGTTTGAAGAAAAGCTTGCGCGTTTCCATTTCCTATTTCTTTATAGTATAAGACGGTAAACCTAAGACACAGTGACACCACAGAGGGGACCAATGTTTGCAATACAAATAATGATAATCATCCCTAGAGAAACTGCATTCTAGCCTCATACCAAGAAGAACAGGCTAGAGAACGGATTTTAAAGTGAATTGCAGCTCTAAATGGTAATGAAGTTTTTCAAACTAAGAGATCATAAACAATAGCCATTGGAAGAGAAGCTTCAGAGAGCCTAAAGTTCTAATGCCCTTCTCCATGATCTGCTGTCAGACCTTTGATCAAGATGGGATAATATCTCATTTCAGCAGTCAACAGCAAGCAAGATTAGATATAAAAGAAATCTTAGGCCGAGCATGGTGGCTCACGCCTGTATAATCTCAGTACTTTGGGAGGCCGAGGCCGGCGGATCACCTGAGGTGGGGAGTTCAAGACCAGCCTGACCAACATGGAGAAACACCGTCTCTACTAAAAATACAAAATTAGCTGGGCATGGTGGTGCATGCCTGTAATCCCAGCTACTTGGGAGGCTGAGGCAGGAGAATCGCTTGAAAGAGGGAGGCAGAGGCTGTGATGAGCTGAGATCTGACCATTGTACTCCAGTCTGGGCAACAAGTGTGAAACGCTGTCTCAAAAAAAAAAAAAAAAAAAGATATAGTATCCTAAATAAAGACATTCCCATTCATTTAATTTTTTTATTTAATTTTTTTTTTTAAATTTTTTTGAGATAAGGTCTGGCTCTGTCACCCAGGCTGGAGTGCAGTTGCGTAATCTCGACTCCCTGCAGTCTCTGCCACCTCCTGGGCTCAAGCCATCCTTGCACCTTAGCCTCCTGAGTAGCTGGGACTTCAGGCATGCACCACTGCGGCCAGTTAATTTTTGTATTTTTTTAAAGAGATGGGGCTTTGTCAAATTTCCCAGGCTGGTGGCAAATTAATGAGTTCAGGTGATCCACTTGTCTTGGCCTTCCAAAGTGCTAGCATTATAGGCATGAGTCACCCCGTCTGACCTTCACGCATTTAAATATCTAATTTTATTGCCCTGGGGTAAAGATGGCTGCAATTCTTCATATCTTAGGCTGATCTTTTCAGGGTGGGCATGAAAAAAAAAGTATAATTTTTTTTTTTTTTTTTTTTTTTTTTTGAGACAGGGTCTCGCTCTGGAGTGCAATGGCAAGGTCTTGGCTCACTGCAACCTCTGCCTCCCGGGTTCAAGCGATTCTCCTACCTCAGCCTCCTGAGCAGCTGGGATTACAGATGCGCACTACCACACCTGACTAATTTTTGTATTTTAGTAGAGATGGAGCTTCACCATGTTGATCAGGCTGGTCTCAAACTCTTGACCTCATGATCCACCTGACTTGGCCTCCCAAAGTGCAAGGGTTACTGGTGTGAGCCACCTATTGTTTATTGAATTGAGCCATAAACAATACATATTAAAACATCACCAACTCAAGTAGGTGGGGATAACCAGTCTAAGTTGTAAGAAGATCTGAGTAGGAATTTCCCCAGTCCATGTTTATTACTTTCATTATACATATCCAATCAGACCAGGTTTCTTAAGATGATTAAAAGGTTTATTTTCTGGAGCATTTTTCACATGCTTTCTGCTACTTAACATCTTGACGACACTCAGAGAGCACAGTATTGTAAAGAATAGTATCCCCTTGGCAAAATTGGTCCAGGCCTAAACTAAACCAGGAGAGATAAACTACACCTGATTCCTTCCCGACCCTGCAGTGATAGGACAATGGGTAATTTCAACTGAAGTTTTTATTTCCTGAGATAAACACAAAAATTGGGTTTGGCAAAATGTAACTTTTCCTTGTAGCTGAAACTGTAACATTTAAAGTTTGACAGCAAAGCTAAGCTTGTGCATAGACATTACGCTCTCTTTCAATAACCCTCCTTGCCACTCTGTGTTTTAAATATTCTGATTATTAGGGTAATAGCAGGGTCTCATCCTTCTTGAAGACTGAAAGGCTAGAAAACGTAGAAGGAAGTATATATTCCTCTTAATATATACTATATATGACAGAATATTTTATACAATAGATTAGAATAGACCTGGCTGGCTGCGGCGGCTCACACCTGTAATCCCAAAGTTTTGAGAGGCCGAGGCAGGAGGATCACTTGAGCCCAGGAGTGCGAGACCTCTTCTGGGCAACATAGTGAGACCCCATAATTCTAAATAATAATAATAAATAAAATGTAATTTAAGAAGAATAGACTGCTATATACTATATAGACATATATATATATAATTGTTAAGAGGGCCAGAACATGTTATGTGTAGAAGTGTTCTATATATAACACTGTCCTATATTATATACATAGTTTCGTGTATGTTTACAGAAAAGTATAAAATAAATATTATTCCTATATAATATTTATATAGAAGTTCATGATGTTACACTGCATTATATGTAATAGAATAATTTTATATAGGATGTATTCCAGTCCTCTTAAGAATATTCCTTTGTGTTCAAATCCAGACCCTACAAGTTATTAGGAGGTGACCACAGGCAAACTCCCGAATTTCTCTGAGCCTTTGTTTCCACATATGAAAACAGAGGCACTAAAACCTAGCATGAATAGATATTGGCATGATTAAAATACCTTGTAAAGGGTTTGGCATAAAGTACAGACCAAAGAAATAGTTTTTTCTCCTTTACTTCCATTTCTCCTGTGTAGATTTGTATATTCCTTTACGATAATCCACCAATATTTTCTCTTCGACATGCTTATTGACCTAGAAGGCAGCATAGCATAGCGGTTAAGAATGAAAGCTCAGGCCGGGCGCGGTGGCTCACGCCTGTAATCCCAGTACTTTGGGAGGCCGAGGCGGGTGGATCACGAGGTCGCGAGATCGAGACCATCCTGGTCAACATGGTGAAACCCCGTCTCTACTAAAAATACAAAAAATTAGCTGGGCATGGTGGCGCGTGCCTGTAATCCCAGCTACTCAGGAGGCTGAGGCAGGAGAATTGCCTGAACCCAGGACGCAGAGGTTGCAGTGAGCTGAGATTGCGCCATTGCACTCCAGCCTGGGTAACAAGAGTAAAACTCCGTCTCAAAAAAAAAAAAAAAAAAAAAAAAAAAAAAAAAAAAAGAATGAAAGCTCAAGCCAGAGTTCTGAGGATTAAATCCTGGCAATGCTAAGCAGAAGGCTTAGAACTTAGGGTGAGTTACTGAACTTTTCTGTGCCTCACCAGCTCACTCATGAGTAAAAGTGAGATTATAATGCTAACCTACATCATAGGGTAAATGGGAAGATTACAGGCATTTAAAGCGGCATCAAATGTTGGCCAACATAGTGAGACTCCATTTTGACAAAAAATTTAAAAATTATCTGGATGAGGCAGGAGGATTGCTTGTACCCAGGAGTTAGAGGTTATAGTGAGTTATGATTCTGCCACTGTACTCCAGCCTGGGTGACAGAGAATCTGTCTAAAAAATCGACTAGTTAATTAATTAAAACAGTGCCTGACACATAGTAAAAACTCAATGAGTTAGTTATCATTATAATTAATATCCACATATCATTTTTCTATATTAAGTTTAATCCTAAATAAAACTTTAAATGAGTAACAAATATTTTTCAAACTTTTATTTAAAAAAAACACTTTATATCACAATGCTACATATGTAGAAATTACTCAAATTACTCAAAGGGAACATTTTCAAACCTCATGGGGTAGTAACTAATTTGAACTTTTTAGCATTGAATTGAAATGAAAAACTCGTCAAAAAGAAAGGACTACAGAATGACAGCAATATGTCGCTGTCTTATTTAACACAGGTGATTACACTTTCATTAGTGTCGACAATGTTTTGCATTTGATTCATCTAAGGTTTTCTTTTAAAAAAATTACAGAGGTTAGTGCTGCAGGAGCGGGGAATGGAAAGTTGTTGAATGGGCACAGAGTTTTCATTTTGCAAGATGAAAAAGTTCTGAAGGTCTGTTGTACAACAATGTGAATATAGCACCACAGAGCTGTAAACCTAAAATTGCTAAGATGGTAAATATGTTATGGATTTTAAAATAAATCCCTTAAATTATAAAATATTTTTGGAATATAGATTTCTATAAATGCTGAAAAGAAAAACAGATGAGAAGAATTTTCATCACAATAATGCATAATGAGTTTTCTAGTCATTTTCTAGTATCTAGTCTTCTTTCAAATTATGTTTTTTGTTATCTTGTATTTTTTTATACAGCCTCTTATGCCTTGTCTTATAGGTACGAAGTAAACATTTATACTTTGGAATAAAGGAAACTCATGAGTACCAGTTTCAAAACTTAGAGTCTAGGCTTGGGAATCAATTAGAGAAAGCTTGGGACAAAAAGTGTCATAAGCCTAGATGAGCAAACACCTAACACAAAAGAAGTAAGAATTAAGATTGCATCTTATATTCGAAGTCAGAAACAAATCAGGAACATATGTAAGCCAAAAAACAGTCACTTTCCAGGATTTAGCCCTTAGTGATAAGGACCAGATTCGTATCACAGGATGAAAAAGACAAAACAAAACCACAAAGGGAAATAGTATGCAAAGGAAATAAAATAATGGACTTTCCTGACATGAATTCTCTGACCCAGGCCAGAAGGGCTTCTGTAGTATCTTTAAAAGTGTTTAAAGTGGCACTACTCCAAAGGAAAATGAAATTAGGAAATCATCCACCCAAGCAAGGGATATAAACAATTGGATCCTCTCTTAAAGCAATACAAACCCACTTTGTCTCAACCCAATGGAGGCCTTACTTAAGATGTGGGTGGGAACAGTGTTCCTTTCCTCCACATCCCCCTTAGGAATCAAATGTGATGAAGAAAAAAAGGAAAGCAAGTTAACAGTCCTACAATCCATTCTAATTCATGTGATTTTTAAAATGTGTCATTTGTAATCAGAAATCAGCAAAATCAGTAGCATCCATGTCTAACTGGAGAATGTTTTCACAGAATGCTCAGTGAAAATGCCTTGCTTATCTGAATTCCCTAGAAGAACCTAACTCCCCTTGGAAAAGACCGGAGGCTTGAGATACTAGTCAGCTCTATGGTGCAGCCCATTTAAACCCAAAGCTCAGCTCGGATTAAACACAATATCCCATTTTCCAGAATGTACAGGAAGCAAGGGAGACTCCTCAACTCCATTTAGAAAAAAGATGTCATGGTTTTATTGATCTGTAAGAGGTAGGCCCTGATGGTTAGGCCATTTATTGTGCAGCTGGGCTATTCTAAACCCATGGTGGAAGAATCCCATATTTATAAAACCACTAACTTCAATTATGACAAATGCACAAGAAAGTTAGCACTCATATTCTATTACTCTTTCCCATAAATGGGTTTTACCACTAGAATAGACCTATAATGAATAATAAATGCTCCATAAATAAAAAGATGAGCCATAATAAGTCTTTCCATCTACCCATGTATAAAAAGATTGAACCAAGAAAAAATCCATTCTACCGGGAGAAAAAAAGGAGAGAAATAATTAGTCTCCTTTATATTTAAAGCATATAGAGGAAATCTGTTTTAACATAATCACATACCTTTAGGAAAACAATAGAAGACGATTTTTTAAAGTGTGTATAATAAAATTATTGTATAATATCTCTTGACCACAGAATTTCTAGCACTCATTTGGTCTGATTAGGTTTTGTTGTGAAATACACAAGAACGCAAATGAACTAAAATACACCTCCCATCCCACTTCCTTTTTTGACAATGATGTTCCCACACTGACCTTTGCAATGCTGCCATATAGAGCAGTCACAGTTACTTAAGGTCATTATCCATTCATGAGAGAATAGCTCCCCACCCTACCCACTAAATTGGTGAAATATTCAGTCTATTATGGCTTTTCAGGGTTCCTTGAGGCTGTTTTAAGCAACTCTCAGTGATATGAACACTAGAGAAGGATTGAAAACAAGCAGTTATTCCCTACCCCTCACCCCAAATCCAGCACTTTCCAAATCGAAAAGATTCATTTGCAAATGCTCCATGTATAGGATGGGAGAAGGTCTATCAAGAGCCATTCATTCATTCATTCATTCAATATACATTTACTGAATGTTTAACATAAGCCAGGCACTATAAAAGTTTCTTTGAGATCTCATCAAAAAAGAAAACAAAAATCCCTGTTCTCATGGAATTTATAATCTACTAGGAAGTGGGGTCAGATAATAAACAATAGAAATAACTTATAAATGTTAAACAGCAAAATGTGCTTTGGAAAATGAAA